TTGACCCTAATGTTGACCCTAATGTTGACCCTAATGTTGACCCTAATGTTGACCCTAATGTTGACCCTAATGTTGACCCTAATGTTGACCCTAATGTTGACCCTAATGTTGACCGCGCGAGACCTGGTTAAACTGTTTAATTTCCCACCTATCAGCTGTAACGATATCGCCGAACTTGGCTATGGGGGCCTTAGATAGCAAAGTATCAATTCCTTTCTTGCCGTTAACAATCTCTTTCCCCAGAGTAAACATGTCGTTTTCTTTTCTTCTGACGACCTTCCCGTTCTCTTCCGCATTTGTCAAAATGGACCATCCACTGAGTTCTTTAGGAATGATGGCATGCTGAAGAATAACACCTTCATTCTCCTTAAATTTCGGGTATTCCATAGAGCAATTTTCGGAAGTAAGAGGAGCGAATCCGTTAGTGGCAAGAAAATGAGCATAGCGTAACCCTTTTTGGATTGCTGTCAGCCACTCGTGATTCTCATTATTAATATGGCACATAGTATCTGATATCAATCCACTCAGGAATGCTGCTTCGAGTGCTGTCGGATGTGCATGGCGCAGCCGAAAGATACCGCGTTCCTCGGCTTTTGGGTCGAAGTAGAGATAATTTGAAACTGTCCCCAGCACAATGGCGCCCTGGTAGCTGAAACGAATGATCCAGGCGATCTTCCCAATATTAAGCTTTTTGGATACGTTTTCCAGCAAATCATCCGGCTTAAAATTTCGCACAGTGTCGGCTGCGGCTTCCTCCCAGGATGAATCTCGACTGATTTGCATCCCAGTATTTCGTAGTTCCTGAACGTCAATAATGATAACAAATCTTTTCAAGTTATCATTATTGATGGTGCTGAGGAGAGGGGCCAATTCACCTGCTATCAAGGATATATTTTTTGGGCGCTTCACTTGGTAGAAGATAGCAGAGGGAGTGAATTCTCCCAGACAAGACAGCCCCGGTTCTTCCTTTCCGGAAAGCAGCTCGCCTTCGGGATCGTCAATAACGAGCGCGTGTTTCGACTCTTCTTTTCCTTTTCCATGCGCACCACCATCTTCCAACACGACCGATCCATCTCCACTCATCTGCTCACCGCGATCTCCAGCGCTGTTATTTTGTTGTTTTTCACTCGCACGAGGCGGATCACTATGTCCGCTCGTCCGCCGACCACCGTCATCAGAGCCGTTACTTTCATCATTTTTGTCAATCTCGATATTAATAGGCGAGGTATTGATAGTGTCAATAAGGTGTTGGCGGTGGACTTCGTTCTTGGCATTCATAGCCAAGAATTCGATCTTGGGATCATTGTTGCTGGTGGGATAAAATCGGCAGACGTAATTCTCATCTTCCAGAAATTTGGACAACAGCCTCGAGCCTGCCGGAAGGCCTTGAAGGTAGACTTTTCCTCCCCTTTTGAATGTAATCAGGTCAATCTGAGATCTGCCCAATACTATAATTTCAGCTTTTGAAGGTTCCATGGAGCCTAGAAGTGATGAAGTGCAATATGTTTTTCTAACCCAAGATGCAACAAAAGTTAGCGTGGAAATGAAGTCAGTAACAAGGTAACTCTCTGGAAGATAAGCCAGATTTTATATGAGAACGGCAACTTTACGCCCTGGGTGTTCTAGAACGTAGTTCGTGCCCGCTTTCCCTATTCCGGCCACAATATTCCATCAGTCACAAGCGAAGATGATGTCAATGAAACAGAAAGCTCACGTCATTTGTCCTATAACCTCGTCAAACATGTTCGTATGATCCAAGATGCCAACGTCGCAGAGGCCGCATCAGCGACTGACGTCAAAGAAATTGCGCACAATAACCTTTGTGTCTATATAGTGGTAGACAAGTTTAGCACCTATCCTTTGAAAAACCTCGCCAAAGACTATTTGGTTAATTAGGTAGGGAAAATTAGCGTGATTAGGGTTTCCTTAATACTATCAAGAAAATTATTAGCTCTATATCTTTTTAAGAAATAGAATTTTGTAAGGTCTTATCTAATATAATATCTAAAAATATTCAAAGCCTTATTAAATAAGAATTAATTTTAAAAATTCTAGAAGAATTCAGAACTCTTTTAACAGTAGTACTCGAAAAGCTCGTTAGCTATTTTAAACATTTAGAGAAGAAGTGTAAACAGCTTATTACTCTCTATAGATAGAGCTCATTCCAGTATATATTAGTAATTAGAGTCAACTTACTCTTAAGATACAGGCACTGTTATACAGAGTTTAATCTTTGAGTCAAGGACAGAATAATAGAATAGAGGTTAATAAAATACAGGAGATATAGAATACGCCACTGAAAAAGAGACTATAAATAGATATAATTTAAGTCTAAGACTAATTCCTATAGAAGTATATAGCGGAGTTAATGAGTTAATGTTTAAGTAAGGTTTATGAAAGCAGAAATTGGATATTTTCCGGATATTGATATAGACTGGCTGATATCCATGCTTCTTTAAATGTTTTAATGAATATCGAGGTTGATGGATCTTTATGATGCCTGGAACTGGCAGTTGAATCCGGGCAGATGTGATGCTGCACCTTAACGTGAGATGTGTGGTTTTCCTTGACGCCCAAATAGCAGGACTTCGTTGTACACACCTTCTTGGAACCAGTTTGACGAACAAATATGTGATGAATATGTTCCCTGGCCCACCGAGGGATGCTATGCCTCACACGTAGACACTTAAAATCACCTTGCTTCTTTGAAATACTTCCCAATATCATTCTACAATGCCAGTTCATCTCCACACCGCTTTTCACTGCACGCGAATCTTTATGATACTACTGTACGCCCCGTTGGTGTCAGGCACATGGCAATATCCTTATGCTTCGATGGCCACTAATGTGAGAGCACAAGATCCTTATCTACTGAATATTGCCCATATAATTATTCGCACGCGAGGGATGGCGTGGCTTGTCTAGAACTATTTGTTAGATTTTATAATTTTGTTCCTGGATCTTGATATCCAGCGTGGCTTTAATCGCATGTTTTAGAGATATTTAGAGTCTTAGATAAATTGAGACACCGGGTCAACGGCAGTATTTAAAAGGCAACGGCTGATACTTTCTATAACCCATGCAATGTTGACCCTAAATCTTACTGTGTGAGATCCCCAAGTTATTAATATACAATTGCCAGTACTAGATATCCCCTTCATCAGGTATTTCTCTCTCTCTCTCTCTCTCTCT